GAAGGCTTTCAAACTTGAGCTGGACAAGGAGTGGTACCTCTTATTCCCAGAACTACCCTATGGATCACGGTCCCCTAAGTTTACTGGTGGAATGCATATAACAGACACTGCGCCGTCTCCCATTCCCTTCTACCTTCCATATATTACTCCCTCGTGGAGAATCGGAACAAGCCGTACACTCGCAGGCGAGTCAGTCCACAGACGGAACCCGCCATTACCAGGAAACCCAACAGGCGAAGGCCTCTCTACGTCCTGTGATTTGAATTAGAATTTGAACCTGATCTGATCTGAACAATAATCTGAACGGTCGATTGGAAAGCGCCATTATTCTTCCTCTGTAGACTGGAATGGTCTGGACTGGAGTTGGTCCACGGACGTAGCCTGCTACTATCAAGACAACCAACAGGCGAAGGCCTCTCTGTATTTTGTAAAATGTATTTTAATTTGTTTACATGAAGCGATTTGAGGGTCTTCGTTGCACCGTTTGGCGGGCTTTTTGGCGTCGATGGTTTTTGGACGTACCTTCCGCTTGCTCTCACGCCTTTCTAAGAGGGCTCTATTGTATACGTTGAAATCGAGTTCTCTGTATGAAAAATAACTCTATGGAAAAATGCAAATCCGATCAAGAATGGCTTCAAGCGGTGGAGCGTGGGAATCTGCCACTAATCCAAAAGTTATTGAAGGATATAGATGATATCGATTTCCGGGGATCTTATGTTCTTAATAATCTCAAGGTATTGTTATTCTAAATAGAATCATTTCTTAGCACAATGGTGTGACGGGCTTAATGGTCGCTTCCCATCTTGGGAACAAGGATCTCGTCCGCTGGTTTCTAATTAACAAGGCGGATGCCAATGCCAGGACACATGTAGGTATTCTCTAAGCTTTTTTCACTTTCCCGTAGCTTGGTTGGCGTGCTATTCATTTTGCGGCCAAGCGTGGCCACGTAGCAACCATCGACATGCTATGTTCCAGCGGGGCTGTTGTCGACCCTGTCACGTCGGTACGTGTCTTTTTGAAGCCTTTATATTTGTAGCAAAACGATACTCCGTTGTCATTGGCTCTTCATTCTCATATGCGGGACAGTGCAAGAAAACTGGTTAACTTAGGAGCGCAAATTGATCGTTTCAACGAGGTATGTCTTTCTACCACTTTTGCTGGATCGTTTTGAGTTTTATGAGGAACTGATTTTCACTACCATCCTCTTGGCTGTCTTCCAATACGCTTTGCTTTGTATAATTCGAATATCTGCCAAAATTCTCGCAAAACGTATGCCCTAGACTTATTGTCTTCCTAAAAAATGTTTCCTTCCACAGAGAACAGTTGCAATAGTTATTCAAATCTGTCCGCGCTCTTCGGAGTTCAGATGAATTCGTCCGTTGCATTGCAAAATCAGTTCATCTCTTGCATTTCGTCGCCTGGTCGCTACATTTCTTATTTACTCTTAATTTCATGTACACCTTTTCAACACAGCGATTTGACTGGACGGTGGATAGACAACACCAATGATTACGAGTAGGACGCACACTGAATTATTTAGTCCTCTCTTGCCGGACTGTTACTACACGAGGGAAGCCAAGCGGCTTCTAGGACGTTCGTTTTATGCATTTTCATCAAAATGATTACGGTTATATGACCTAGTCTTATAAACCACAGGTAGACCGTACGTAAAAATGAAAGGAGCGTTCAATCTCGAACAAGCTGGTTAATTCTGTGCCTGAAGGTAGCAACTGCAATTTACATTTTGCGCGCGGGTGTATAGTGCTGTGCCGATCAACACACCGGCTTGGACTGGGAGCACAGGCGCTCTTGTTCGAACAGTCAAGTGTCCTGTACTTGAAATTCGACATAAAAAGAGGAGAATTCAGCGTCAAGCAATAAAGCAGATTTTAGTATAGAGTAAAAAAAATAAAGTTACTACAAACATTGGGCGGTTCCTTGAAGAGCGCAAGCTAACAATCTACCAGAGTAACGTCAACGCAATCGGAAAAATATAACTAATTCGCTTCAAGTTTTCATTTTTTTATCACACCAAGGTGTGATAAACGACAGACGAAGAAGGCCTCATAGTCACGAAAACTTGCTGTTCTGTGGTGGAAGCTGGTGACCTGCTCCCCGGGACGAACGAAATAAGGCTCCGTTAGGATAGGCATGTATCTAATCGGACGTCAGCATAGCTGCCCACCACCAAATGTGGGTGGTGGTGGCTTGAATCTCTGACCGTGGAGTCCAAAACACCGGTGACGACTAAACCACTGCGCCATCATTGCCATTTACAGATGGACGAAGAAATTCTATCGCCCCACTTGCGAAATCGTACAATTGTTTAATAAAGCATTGACTCATTTCATCTGCTAGCCATTTATTCATGTTGACCAGCATCGGAATACGATTGCATTTGTAATTCACACTAATCTTGGTCCACACTGCTTGCTAAATGAATCGTGGCACTGGTAACTTCATAGCCTGTCCGACGCAATACTTCCGGCTGACCACACCAAAGCGTACTTTCGTATGAGATTAACAAAAGCCTGGTCCCTACCACAGCTCGCTGTTCATCAAGATTTGGTGTCGTATCAAACGGATCCGACGTCCTTGAGACGAGATTCACTAGCTCAGTGTATTCAATAATCATATTAGTTTGTTTGTACAACCTCTTAATTGATGCAACGGGTGATGACTCTAAGTTTCTCATTTTGACGATGAGAGCCGCGTACTGCAACCAGGGCATCGCATTCGGTTTGTACACTCCTTCTTGAGATGTTTTAAGTCACTTTTTCAGCTCTTATGAATAACCTAGCTTCCCATGACTCATCGATGTGTATTTCACACTCATCTGAATCCAGACTTTGCCACGGTACAATAATCTTGATAAAAAAGAAGTTCGTGATTTGCTCGAGTCCAAGTCATCTGTAACTTCACTCGGTATGCGCTTTGCACCTTCGAAGTGCAGAGTGATGCTGCAAAACTGGGTGTCATCTACCTCGGTGCTTATGTTTGATGGTCAAGAATTAACTGTAGCGGAATGTTTCACCTACTTAGGTAGCTGCGTGACAGACGACGGTAGCATAGTCAAAGAAGTAACCACCCGCATTTCTAAGACTCGAGAAGCTTACACAGGACTGAAACACCTTTGGTGCAGACGCGATGTTTCGTTGAAACTGAAAGGTTTCTGCTTTATGGTTGTGAGTCCCTAAACTTGTGCGTGGAAGATATTCGTTGTCTAGAATTGTTCGACTGCCGATGTTTACGTAGTTTGGCGTGGATTCGATGGAGCAAACATGTAAGCAACTCGAAGGTAAGGTATTTGGTAACGATTCTATGGAGAATTCTGTCCCATCGAATTCAGGCTGACTGAAGGATATGACAGCGAACCGTCAGCAGCGGTGTGCTTGTTGTCATTTCTTATCAGGTCAGAATGCTTGAAACGTTGTGTGCACACTTAGGTTGTGTACTCTGTGTGCTGACCATAGAGGTTCACTTTCTTTACGTCTCTCCAGTTAGGCTCAATCCCTCTCCATCTCGTGCTTTATCACTTGATTTGTGTACATTGTGAGCTTGAAAGCAATCAGTAAAGTTTGTCTCACTGTATCTCGCTGTTCGATGATAATGATGATGATTTGCTCGATTATTGTACCGCGATTTATTTGGCACAGTCTAAACTGAGACGCGTGTGAAATATATATATATATATATATATATATATTTACTCGAGGGCGTGATACTGCTAGGTTGCCCAGGCCAACGCAGGTAAATTTTATTAACAAATTCATAATCGGAGCTTTCGTCCAACCAAAGCCTGAGGTGCAAGCAGCTGGACGGTGTACGGAAACCGCAATCCATTGTGAGCCGGTTCATCAGACCGTACTCCTTTCGGACGGGGTCATGTGTCTAAGGTGCCCAGTACACCTCAATGCCTAATCAAATCGGTGATTACTACCACGACCAGGAGGTTGTGTTTGTGTGTGGTTCGTACTCTCCTTGGTTGGCTTGGAAGCAGGGTTTAACCCCCTAGCTTCTAACTGAACTGTCAGTGGTTCACAGATCCGATTATAGCCTCGAATGTTGGCTTTTCGTTTCACTTTGGTAGGAACACACCTCAGTCACGAGAAGGCAGTAAGTAGAGCATCATCAAGAGAGGCTGCTTGTGACGCTTGACAATATAGAATTTTCTGAGGTGCAAGGAAGTGGTGCTCAGCCGCAACCCGGGACGCCCTCCCCGATGAATTTGAGGCTTCCGGAGGCCATGAGCCATCAACCAGGCTATGGTTCCGAATTTTTGCTTATCATCCTTCCATTTTAGTACAAACGCTCACCGAGAAAGATGAGAAGTTTGGTTTATCCAACAATCGTTGAGAGAGACGGTTCCCTAAGAAAGGACAATCTTAATCTATCTTCGGAGGAACTGAGGTCTTCTAGGTTACAAAATTTCTGAGTTTAACAGTTACACAGACTAACTTGAACGTACAACAAACAGTGATGAAGTTCATCGTTATATGTTGGGTGGGAGTAGTCATCCTCAAGGTGATAATCGCTCATCGCCACCGATTGCTCGTCATGTTTTGTTTATACCTACTCCTTGCCTGTCCACGATCTCTTCACACCTGCTGGGCAAAGCTCAGTGGTCAGACTATGACTTGGCTTAAGATACGAGGCCTTTGAAGACCCAAGTATGGTCGAGGGTAGGTTTCTAGGGCTGTGGCTGGTCACTCTTTCCTTGCACCTCGCGAAAAGCTCCCATACGACCGAGCGTCTTGAATAGCCTCTGCTGAAGAAGCCTTACTCACTGCCTTCTCGTGGCGGTGTTTTCCCACTAAAAGCAGAGGATGAAAAGCCAACATCCGGGACTATAACCGGTTTGGTGGACCACTGGCAGTTCACCTAGGAGAGTTGACCAAAACCTTCATTCCAAACCAACCAAGAGGAGACGTACGAAACACACACCTTCCCCGTTGTGGCAGTGGTCACCGGCTCGATTGGGCATCGGGGTGTATTGGGCAACTTGGACGTTTGACCCCGTCCAAAGAGCGGATGATCCGATGAAATAGACAAGGGCCCCCAATGGATTGCGGTTTCCACACACTACCACGCTGCCTTGCGGGTCAGGCTTTGGCTATCCAAAGGCTCTGGTTGTGGATTCCGCAATAAAATTCACCTTCCTGGGTCTGGGAAACCTGGCAGTATTCCGCCCACATGCAAATCATGGAACGTTTTTCTTGTTCACAAAGATTATTGTACCATTGTTTGGCATAGTCTGGATTCAGACATGTGTGAAAATGTAATCTTAAGATGTGATTTGGTCAATCTGTCTGTTGAAATCCCGTGCTTTATAAAAGTTGTTCAAGGCAGAGAATGACCAAAAGCGAAACTGCGTTGTATTTCGTAAACCTGTCTCTCCATCTAAAATATTAACCATCACGGCAAAAACGGATTCGCAAAAGAGAACACTTAACCCATCTGATAATTGTATATAGTATTGTATAGTGTAGTATAGTATAGTATTGTATAGTATTGTATATAGTATAGTATATAACTGAAATTAAAAAAAACTAGAATATGTGATAGTATGGTGTATGGAGATATGAGAAAAGGATTGGTGCCTATTTCATTCATTAGTCACCAACTCCTCCGTCTCCATTTTCATTACCGCTTTGGAACCGTGTTTGTTATGCTTATATATTCAATTAAACTAAGCAACACAATTTTGACAGCGGTTTCTTCGCGAGGTTTTACCATGCTGTGCTGCAATATACTATAATATTGTCCATATGAAACTTAATGAATGACCTTATCCATTTTAGGGACTACTGCACCTCTATATTCATCGCGGTCTTTTACCTGCTGAAGTGCTTTCGCGCACACGTTCCACACTGGATTCACCTCTAAACAAGTCGAGGCCGGCGCCACAAATAGATTGTACTTCACTTTCGACAGATCTGCCAAACGAAACAAATGGGTCGGACAAAATCATCGGTTTAACTTATCTTGATTTTTCTGTTGCTGTAAACGATAGTCAAATTATAATCAACCAATTACAATGCCAGTCAACCAGCTACGATTTAGAACTCGCGCGTCGTAAACGTGAGCTGATTCGACGGTTGCCACCGATCAACACTCTTCCTCAGCAGTCAGCAGTTTTGTTGGTCCAGCAAACGCAACGCCTTGCACGCGCTGATTTACCGGCGTTTGAGCGACTACAAGCTGTTCGGAAGGTTTTTGCTGTTTTACCCTTAAAGTCTCTTGGTGGTCCATCTGATGAGGGCATACATGTTACATTTGGAACTGCTGTTGAGCCGTATCTCCGTCTGTTTGAGGCATGCATGTGTGAGAGCCATTGTCCTAGTTCACTTGCTGCTGAACTAAGTGTCCTATCCGTTTATTTCGTAGCACTTGGAAGTGGAAGAAACGGGGAACTCAACGTACCAAATCCAACAGACGATGGTCCAAACGGCGGTTCTCCCAGGGCATCCTTCATTGCCTCATATGTTGCGAGGTTGCTGCGCAAACTAATATCTAAAAATAACCCACAGTATCGCGCTGGAATTTTGGCTCATCTATGCCGAATACTTTCGTTCTCTAACGAAAAAAAGGACTGTAACAAGTGTCAAAGACCCACGGACTTTTGGTCAGATTTGAATCAGTTCACGGTTGTTCTCTCCAGTTTAGTAAGACTTGGTGAAACTCTTGATCAACCCCTTAATGTTGCTCGATTGGCTGCTCTTATTGGTCTCATTGGACGTCGAATGAGTGAACTATCATTGCCAAGCGTGGTATCTTCGTCAACTAGCCTTTTCTCTGATCTGGCTGACATCCTTGTTGGATGGGGAGTGGACCCCACTAGTGTTACACGAGGTATTAATCTGGATAGCATATACACAGAATTACGTTTTGGACTCTCCAGCTGGTGGTTGCATTTGCCGAACAAGAATTCTCGTTCTGTTGTATCGGGTTCGGATTCAAATGAAGATATTCCTACAATTAATCCAAGCATGCACGAAATGATGTGTCACTTGTTGGAAGATTCCGAAANCTGGATTGTCAGGCTTTGGCACCCAATCAAGCAGGTCCTTCTGCACCAACCGTGAAATCGCCATCAGACCCAACGTCTCACTTGATTTCTGTGGATCTTTTCTTATCCATTTTGTCGTCTATAATAGAAGGATTGGGAAATCAATTGTCACCTGTATCGCAAAGTCGCCTATGTCATTCGCTGGGTGCTCCTGATGTAAAGAACATTGATTGGTTCGACCGTCTTTTACAATTGATCAAATCAGCACATACTTGTTATCGCCTTAGTTGTATGTTTTGGCATGCTCATAGTATGGTAAACAATTCACGACGAGTATCATTTTCTGTGGTGGACAAAATCGAGTGTACGGTGCTCCGGCTCCTCGATTGCTTCTCGCATGCCTTCCTTCCGCATGCTATCTACGGATACTTGACAAATCGTTTATTGGGCTGCAATGAGCTGCCCATGTCACCCGAGTGCTTGAATGCAAGCCTCAGGTTGCTCCAGAAATTTGTAATGCAGTGCCTGCTTAAACCAAGTACTCAGACGGCCGTCATGGAGGTTTTACATACGTGCTTTGGTGTTTGTTCTTCTCTACATACATACAAATTTTGCTTCGCATCTAGAAACCGGCAGGATCCAGTGAGCAAAGCAGTATTGAGAACTTTATGCCTTTTGGCCGAAAAGGAAGAGTTACGTGATCCTTTATGCCAGCTCGTTTTATTAGATTTGAGACTTGCATTCCGCTTTCTTAAAGCACCTGGAACTAATGAGGTTCCTAACACTGATGACCTCTCTAAATGCGAAGAATTGGGACTTTTCAGTTTGGCTCTTTTTTCTGCCATCGTGCGGCACACTACCTCCTCTGTCGATCGATTGGCTCTCCGTAGGCATATACTGGGGACTTTCAGTCAGGATTGTGCACTGAAATGGTTGGACATTCCTCCCCGACTCCGGATGGCTTTGGTTGCAGTGTTGAACGACGATAATTTCCTGACCTCCCTGCCGCCAACAGAACTAATGCAATTGATCTCCACCGTCTTATGTGTGAAGTCTAATTCGCCCTTCGAGTATAATCAAGCATGCATGTTCGCCTTGACCGGTTTGAAGAACACGAATTTGACATCCAACGACCGTTGCCAAATATTGACATACATTTGCAAGCTAGCTGGAAGAATTTTATCCTCCCGCCAATCACTTCACACATGTTCAATGGATCCATTTATCTTGTGTATCCGAATCGTGATTTCGAATGCTTTTTCTGACGGACTTGAACAGAATGAGCGTTTGCGTCAACTACTGTTCCGATTATCCGAATTTGCGCTGTGCAGTAACTTTCCGGAACGACAAGAAGTCTGTAGCGACTTACTGCTTGCTTTGGGAGTTTCACAAGGACGTCGTAAATACACTTCAACTCCCAATTTAGGACTAGCTTGGTACACAACTCGACGTCCTGACAAATCAGCAACGGCCCTGGTTATGCCACCGGCAGCTTCACAGGTGTCTTCATCTTGTGCAGTTGTTGGCTCTGCTAGCGCGTATCCCAGTTTACCGGCAGTTGCCGGTGTTCTCGGTTTCTTAACACGTGGGGCACCCTATAATGCAACTGCCAGCTCTAGCCGTTTGTGCATCTTGAAGGAGCCATCTGACTGGATCAGACGATTATATCATCTCATTTGCCCTATTCCAGCTGAAATGAATTCAAAGTTGTTTGTTGTTAGTGCAGAAGAAACGGTGCTTTGGTACGCTGCATGGACTATGATTGATTATAAACTGAAAGTGGCTCCGTGGGTTAACCCTTTGAAAACGTTCTTATCATTGGAGGGCACGATGCGGGCCTTTCTGCGACCAAATATTACTCCTGAAACCAAATCACGCAATCCATCCAACTCTAGTGGCGTGCTGAATTTTCATATTGCTTCTAGCGATGCACTGTCACATCAACCGTGGATTAGACAGCTACGTCAAACTCAGTCACTGATGACGTTTTTGGGCTTTCTCGAACGTCTTATTGACAATGCCACGAAAGGCTTTGCTGTGTCTTTACCACGTCCTGTTCTACCTGCGTGCACCTTCTTTGCCGCGAATGAAGCTACCTGCTCACAGTGGTTTGGTCGAGTTCGTACCCTGTTACTTCGGATTGCCGATGGTTGGCCCCTGCCTCCTGTTGCAAATGGATGTTTTGCTGGTGACGTTCCAGCCACGGTTCTGTACCATGCCTACACTCCATTGGTTACAATTATGCAATCTGATCCATCTGATCTGGAATTATGGCTGTCTGGTTTGCCATACAATGGTGTTTCATGCGATGTACTCATTCGTGTTGCCAAGGCACTACATCGTTTGTCGGCTTGGGAGGAGCTTCATGCGTTGAGCGAGTGAGTTGTCGTTTTGTATTGAGTTGACAACTTATTTTATTCACCCACGTATGAGTTCAGGCTGTGTACCAAGCACATCACAGCACAATCACCATGAGAACAAACACTTCCACGATTTGTTTGTGTCGTAATACTTGTTACCCAGACCGAAGCAGTCAAATTTTCTTGAGGATTCACAACCAGAGCCTTCAACTACCCAAAGCCTAACCCGCTCGGCAGTTGGGACAGTGTAAGAAAACCGCGATAGATTATGTACTCTGTGTGTTGATCACAGATTCTCTTTTTTCGTTTCCCTCCACTTAGACACAATCCCTTTCCATCTTGTGCTTTATCACCTGCTTTGTGTAGATTGTGAGCTTAACAGCAATCAGTGAAGTTCGCTTCACCTGGATACCCTCGGGCTAAGCAGAGTTACATGCTACCAGGCGCGTCCCCGGGTTGCGGATAGGGGGATACCTTCACCAAAGGTTAGCTGTGAATAAGTTGGGGCATACCACAACAAATAAACAGTCGCGACCAAACAGCCGTTGCACTACCAGGGTGTGGTGGGTTTCAGGTTCGTCACCTGGCTCCTGTTTAAAAGCCGAGTAAACCGAATGACGGTGTCGTGACAAAGGTCGATGTGAATGACTATTTAAAATTAAAGCCATTAACTCCCTCACTTCCGGGGCGAGGGGTTACTGCCTGCTGCCTTGCAGTTCGTACTTCTTTGTGCAAAAACTAGAGATGCGCCCTAGAAATAATAAAAAAAACTAAGTGACGCTGGGGACGTCTCTTGTACCAAGCTCCCAAGGAACTTCATAATCATGGTCATATCAGCCGCAGTAAAGTAAGTAAGCTTCACTGTATATCCCTGTATGATGATGATGATGAGGAGGAGGATGCAAGGACATTGCAAGGACTGGTTGTTAATTCCCCAAGAAAATCCGCTTGCATTGGTCTGGGCAACCCAGAAGTATCTCTCTACAAACACCTCATGAGGTCTTTCCCTTTTTTATAATGATCATTTTACTGCGACTTGTTTGGTACACGATCTTGACTCATACTTGTGTGAGTTATATGTGGAAAATGTATTATACTCACTACGAGGTAGTGGTGATGGTCGCCGCTACTGGCATACTCTGAGTCGTAAGCTCGGAGGTTCAAGCTCCGCAACTACGTCCCATCTTGAGTGGTTCAATACCACGCGTCTCAGTAGGGCTTATGTGCTTCATCACTCCAAGTCCCAGGGTTTAGGTTTCCGGTTCCCTCAATTGACCAGTAGATCCTCTTTTCTACTGTTATTTACGCGATAGTGTCCAAGAAAACATCGTTTATTCAGCCACCTACCCCAGTTGAAAGTAGATCTTTTAACCGGGCATCTCATTCTATTGCAATCACAAGGGAAAACTTGACCACCGTCTGTATGTGATTATATTGAAGTAACCATTTTTCTTCACTCTTGATCGTATGATTTAATGAATTGTAATTCAACGTGTCTGACGCTAAATTTACTTTTATGCGATGGTGTTTGCTCCGTCGTTTCTAGGTGGACCACACGCCTGTTTGATTCAACGGTCGACAAATGCAACCCATTTGCATGGATTGAAGGTTTGGCACTGCTAACACGCGGTCAGTGGGATGGAGCTGTGAAAATATTCCGTTCATTTTTTGATTTTTACGTCCAGCAAAAGCGCCGCCCTTGGGATATGGACTCTTCAGAAACTACCTGGACTTTGGGATTCGCTTATACAACGGAGCTTCTTTTTCAGTGTTACTTGAATGAGGGTGATAATCAAGCAGCATTTTCTTTACGAGATGTCGTCCACTCATTAAGCTTTTCACAAGACACTGATGAATCTGGCCTGACATCAGCAGCAATCTCGTCGCTCAAGTTAAATTGCATGCGGCTTTCATACGTAGAAAAGTTGTCAAAGTGAGTAGTACCACCGTTTTATGAAGCTGTAGGGTGTTTTTTTCAATGCGAATCTGATCCTAAATGACCAAGGTTCACTTGGAAAATTCATTTTCACCGGTCTCTTAGGGTGTGGATACGATGCTTTTACAGTTGGAGGAGGCAAGTCTCGCGAAGGTTCAGTCGCTTTCATGCTTTTTAGTTGGAAAGAATAACAACAGATCCGCCACTCAACCTGTATCATACTCACTGTATATTAATTATTCTCCATCTACTTCCCTTCGGCTTCATTGATCTCATGACTACACAAATCGGATACACGACCGAGTATTGACAAGAACTGCATAACCATTCGTGTACTTTCACCAGATTTTTATCCAACGGTTTATTTATTGTTTATCATCAAACCATCAAATCTTTTTGATCGGTGTGCCGTATTACATGTGATTGTCGGAATTGGATGCAACCATTAGCAAGTTCACGGAAATTAAAAGCGTCTAACCCAAAAATACTTTCATGAAATCATCCTGACTCTCTGGGACCACCACTTCTCTAAATTGAGATTGTGATTCAAATAAAGTTTTTGCGGTTGATTGTATCAGTTCCATGTATTCATTTTTGAAGCAGGTGCAATCTTTTTTGTGTGTCCATTTTTTGGTACCCTCGGTTGAATAAATGTATCCATTTACTGTGTTAAAAATGGCTACATCCGCTATCATCGTTTCGCAGGTTCTTTTTAGGCTTAGTGTTTTGGTCTTGATTGTCTTACGAGGAATCCACTCTTTCTTTTTTAGTTGGTCTTCCTCAACAACCGCTTCCTCGAAAAACGAACACACTGGAGACGAAGGTATAAAATGGTGGTCACATGAAAAATTGACCACGAAATTATGTCAATACTTGACGGATGCGGCTCTTACGTTGAAGTCGTCCATGGATGGTACCTCAGGAGTCAAAAGGAACGTTCTAGAAAACTTATCTAAGCTGATCACGGATGTTCGTTTGGCTTCATTATCGACTTTAATGTCATCATCCAAACCACTAGCCTGTCTCCCGGAGCTTCAATGTGGATTGACCAGCGAGGGTAGCCTTTGCACCTGGTTAACTCGAGCAAATTTGCTACTGAATCCACCATCGCAGTGCATACATGATAGCGATCTGGTTCACTGTCATTCAAATACAATAGGCGAGTCATCCTGGCGTCATTTACTAGGTCATCCTGACAGTCATAATGCTCGGTTGAATTCTGGTTTGCAAGGTTGCCGTTGGGCATGTGAAAACCAAAATTATTTGTTAGCCAGGCGTTTGTTGGTTCGTGAACTGAAAGCCTTATCGTTTATCGATGGAATGCATTTCACTGCTGTGGATCATAGTCTAGAAACGCTGTACAATATTATCCGTTCAGTGAAGTTTACGGGCGACGACCACCTTTCTCAAATTCAACGCCTACTGTTTTATGATTGTTTGGCTCAACTTTTGTGGTCTACCGACAAAGTATCCCCGTCATTTGATCCCAAGTTGGCTGCAATCGATACACTGTCGCATGGTTTGCGAACGATTATTCTGGAAGAATCAACTTCTGATCCCGTGCACCACGCAGCTCGATGTCACACCACAACTCAAGTTGCTCTACGCTTATTCGGCTGGTTAGAGGCATCTCAACGTTTATCCAATCGTACTTGGGCTGAATGGATCAGTCGTGAACAAATGAATTCACGTCACGAAACATGTGTAAGTTTTTTAACCCTAAAATGGTTTACTTGTTTTTTAGTATAAAATCAATAGCAACAATCAACATAGGATAAGAAATTTACCATATTTCATATTCTGGTTTCATTCAACGGAGTCGACTTGTGATTCTCCATTACAAACTTCATTGAAAGCACCACGGACCTTTCATTAGTGGTAATTTGCAGGACGAATGCATTCTTCCTGCCAGAATGTATTCGAATATCTAAGTGTATTATACACTGTTTTCAACAAATCTGTGCCACGGGTTATTTATCTCAATGAGGCCGAATCATAGATAGGCTTCTTACAATGGTGCATCGCAGAAAGAGCACGCGAAAATGTACAATATGATCTGCGTTCGATTTCAGGTTATATTTTATAACCTTGACGCAATGTAACTGTTCATTGTAAACTGCATGTTGTTACACTGTGTAGAAGAACCACTATTAGTGTTCGAGACGCTAAATGATATGGCTAAGTGTCGTAAACAGTGGCACTCGTGCTCTTTTATCCAAATGGGCGGTCGAAAAACCAACTAAAACCGGAGCACGAAAGTGCATGGTTAATGGTTGTAAAAACCGAATTGAACTGAAACCAGTGTATCTTGTGATGTGGTTAACGAAGGAAAGACAAAAGTACCAATTCGTTGAAGAACCAGTTCAATATCATTTTCATGACGAATTCATCATCTAATCAAATCAAATCCTCCATTTTTCTCATGGTTCAACATCATCAGATATCTCTATTATTTATCAACTTAATCACCAGCTTGAAACAGGTCAGGTGCTAGTACCGCACACAGTGCAACAGAATCGGGCAAATGTGAGAAAGCTTAATAAATTGGGAGGAGTAGGTTTTTGTCTTTCACCTTGTATACATTGTCGGTGTTTTGTTTTCCCTCTATCATGGGGGCCATTCATATCACATTAAAATTCATGTAGGTGTTCATGTGACACGGCATTCATGTGCAGCCCCAGGGATCTGCTCTTCCATGCGACAAGGATAATACGCCAGTATACCATTCAAAAGCAGATTAGACTGATTTTTTGATTACACACATTTTTTGTGATTAACAGCAGACAGGGTGAACCCCATAGTCACGTAGTGATGAAAACCGGCAACCTAAGCCCCGGGACTTGAAGTGGCAAACCACATAAATCCCCGTTAGGTTAAAAGTGTTATTAAACCGGACGACAGCAATTGTTCTGCTGTGCACCCTAGCACTGGATTTTCAGATGTTTGCTGTCTGCTGTTTGCTTGCCAAACCGATTCTCTTTGCAACACGTCTCGTCCAAAAAGCATTTCATTCATTAAGAAGTTCAATAAAAGAAATCAGAAACCGGGATTGAATCAAGCAGTAGTAAAAGAAACAGTTGTTTTTAAATGCCGACTAGGTGTCGTATCTTGTCATCTTGTCATCACTTCCAGCATGGTTAGTAGTGTGCGCATGACGATCATCATTGAATGTTGCTGAACGGTAATGATAACGATTCGTTTACCGTGATTTTAGCTAAACCTGGGTAACTGGAATTAACAAGTGCGCTTGAA